GGTGGTACACGTGGCGCACGAAGCTCGCTATCACCACCAGGGATATCACCAGCGGCAGGACTATGCCTTCCATTATTTTTACTGTACACTGTAATACCATTAACTTTCGTTATTATCTATTCATATGACTGTGACTCCATCAGTCAAAACACAGACTGCTTCGTTGGCCGAGTGGTCGCAAGTGCGACTACCGGGCAAGGGGTCTCGGGTTCGATTCCCGGGTCGGGCAAAGAACTACTGGGTTTTTAAAAAAATCTCAGTAGTAGCACGGAGTCTGGAAATGTGCCCGGTATATGGCAATAGGCTCACCCCCTATTACATGGGACTCATAACATAAATAATGAAAAGTGGGCATCTGTGTGCACCTCTGCCTACCCCGGGGATAAAAAGGTGTGATGTTATGTTATGTTATCTATTCATACTAATTACGATGTAATATTTAAAGCTGAAAAGTTTGTTTGTTTTCTTTAAGCAGTTAATCTGGAGAACCACTGGTTCGAATTGAACAATTCTCTTTGGGTTGAATCGTCCATCTATCTAGTAGGTAGCTAGTAGGTAGGCTACAAAACATCACGCTGTGATCAGACACCGAGCAGCGGGTATACCGCTTGGGCGAAGCTAGTTGTAAAGTAAAAAAGAGACTGAATGTCGATCAGCTAGGTTATTCTGTAAGATGTCAAATCGAACTCTCGAAGTGAACTCGATCACAGTCCGTCATTTCATTGGTTTTGATCATAATCTCGACCAATGACGAGCGAGAATGTTATCGAGCTCACTTCGAGAGTTCAAATTGACATCTTACAGTATTCTGTCAGCCTAGCAGCATCGTCTCATGATTGTATGTAAAATGGTACTTACCAGGTACCTTTGTTTCTCAAAAACTGTCACAGGCCTTACAGTGGCTTGTTCTAAAGCTAATTTCAGATTTTTCAGGTACGGAGTCTCACACATCCTGTATGCTTTGTTACGATGCGGTGTTCTTATTCTCGGAGTGCTAAAGTTGTCTTTTTGCTGTAAATTAAAATCAAGAAGCTTCATTTCCTAACATTTAACTTGTGGATACATGCTGTTATTTTGGCAACCACCTACATTTATGATATAGTATAATAAAACTGATAGCATTTGTCACTATATTTAGTAATATTACGCTTTCACAGTTAACCAGAGAATGTAATGAAACAGAATAACTAGAATAACTTGAACCAGAGAGCCAATATCATACAACTAAAGCTGAGGAACAGACCTAAACTTATTACCTTTTTATAACTTGCATGCTGGTGAAGACATTCACAAAGGTTTTATTAGGTACCGGTTCATCCATCTACTTACTGGCGTAGTAGGCTGAAAGATCTGTCCGAAAAACTGTTCCGGATCTTCTGGCTGTAAACCACGGCAATGACCAGGTACTTCCTGGCCAGGTCTTAGTACAATAACATCTCCTTCCACCAACAGTGCCCATGGAAGATTTACTATTGTAGCTGAAATTATAAAAAATGTAATATATGAACAAAAGAGAACTTATTACAACCTTGTAGACCTTTTTTAATACTGATACATATATGTCCCACACCACAATTGTATCCTAATTCAGACTTGGTATAACAATTTGTCAGTCACACAAAGAATGGGCCACAATAGATTGCCCAGACACCATGTTATTCTCTTAATACCATTATATTTCTCTGACCCACGACCCCATCCCAAACAATGTATGACATTGAGCAGTTAAAAATGATAATGTATAATGACATCTTGTAGATGCTACTATATTTTCAATAATAATAAAATTTCTTACAGTCCCGATAAGTCCATTGCAGGATTACACAAGGTGAGAATGGAGCACATAAATGTGGATAATGATTCTCTTTCCATTTTGAACTCTCTATAGCCTCGTCCAACGTTTCTGAAGAGAAAACATTAACAATAATCTACATAAATAAAAATAATTTTCCATTTGTTAGTCTCACTGGAACTCGGAAACGGCTGAACCAATTTTGTCAAATTTTGGTCTTGAAATATTCGTGGAAGTCCAGGGAAGGTTAAAAAAGTGAGAAAAAATTTTTTAGGCTGTACAAAGGTTGCCGGGTCGCTTAGTGCTGAATAAAAACCTATTTACTGTTCAAATTAGAACTGGTGTAGATAAGCAAAAAAAAATTTGTAGGCAGCACAAAGTTTGCCGAGTCGCCTAGTACTTAATAACTTGAATACTCTCAGCAAATTAAACTATATTGTAGGTAATTTTGATATTAGCTTAAACATGAGAAAATTATTTAATATCTGTACTAATAATAACGTAAATGATCTTCAAACAAATAGCATTTTGTAATAAAGGTTTTTTTTCTATTGTATCGTTTACAACTATCATTTTAATTGATGACCATATCTTTCGGTTATAGTATGTTTCATTTTGAATTTGCTATTACTACAATTCTATTACCAATCTGATCTGAAATCAATATTATCTTCATGTATATAATTATCTTATCAAGAACAAGTTAATTAAAGCTTTAAAATGATTTGGAATACCTATTAAATACAATCCTAACTAATATTATAAATGTAAATGTAAGTTTGTTATCCATAACCACATTATCAACAAAAAGTTTTGTATACATGTATGAAGGTAGAGAAAATCAAATATATGCGGATAAAGCAAGTAAAAGCTACAAGGAAAAATACAAGAAAAGTCTGTATGTGTCAGTGACTCACCTAAAACTTTCCTTACTCTATGAGGTATTTCATTTCTGAACTGATACTCTTCATTGAATGCCACCAAGAAGTTTACTAACAATATCACTATTAAGAAAAATGCTTCCCATAGCAAATAGGCATGGGCTTGTACAGATTCACCAAATATATATGTAAGAATTAAGCACACTATGTATATCAGTGTTATAGTATAAGCAACTCCTGACAATAACACTTTCTCTGAAGAAAATGAAATTATATTTCGGACTAGGCCCAATCTGGAAAAAAAATTAATTTGTAATTATTTAAATTGAGAATGTAGATTCGTACTTTTAATATTGACTTAAACCAATACTCTTTGATGTGTAACTACTACAATTGAAATAATATGGAAATACACACGTATATTCTTAAATAATAAAGTAAAACATCAACATACCCTGTAGTATTTTTTTTCTTGTGTTCTTCTATTACGTTTCGTATATCATCACGGAGTTTTATAAGCGCAGTTTTCGTTGTGTAACCCAAAGAATGTAAGTTACTATCATCCATTTTTACATTCGCCATTCACATAATTAACTTTTTACAAAAATACTCTAAAATTATATCAAGTAAATCAAAAATTATTTTTATCAACACATTAGAAGGTCGAGCGGCCGTTCTGAAAGTAAAACAAAAACATTGGTTACATAATTAATGTGGCAACATATTTTAGAATAATATGTAGATGACTTATTCTTCTGTAAAATATTATCATATTGATTAAGTCTAAAATAAAACAGAATATGTAAAACATGTTAATCTAATGTGAAGTTTCGAATGTAATAACTTTTATTTTATCCAGTTTAGTTTAGTTATTTTTTCTAACTTTTACGTTTTTGAAGTTTCGAACTAACTAAAGTACTGTCAATACTTTCAAAATTGTCAAAGTCACATGTCTAAGTTTCTATGTTGGTATTTTAGAGGGTATCGAAAAATACACTTTATTTACAAAGTAAATGATCATAATTATAATAATAAACCCCTTTATTCTGAATTTTTACATTACGAGTTGTTACAAAAAGGTTACAGTATATCTCTTAATTCAGTGTGCCTTTTGGCAAAGGCCTCCTCTAGCTGTCTCCATTGAATTCTGTCGCGGGCCCAGCGGGACCTAACTGGAGAAGAGTGGCCCGCGACAGAATTCAAATGATCATAAAGTAAAATTTTAAATTTGAATCATACATAATAGTATATTTCATTCTCAATATACACATTCTTGGCCTTTAGGTTACGCATGTGAGGTTCTTTTCTGAAATTGACTTGTTTTTGGAAAGGCCAAGGCAACCTACTGAATGATCATGTACATTATTTTTTTATCAACATTACACACTGTATGTGTTATTGCTGAGACTTTGATATTGGTCAACATAGAGCAACACGGCCTGTGTGTCAATAAAAATTCTGAAAAGATTTTGCTGACTTAAGTGGAAAAGTCCTTTTTAATGGTAACATTTTCAACTTTAATATTGATTTGTTTTGAACCATTGTGGCTTTTGTTGCTAGCTTCAGGTGCTGTCCACAACAATGTTACCAGCTTTGTCATTCATTACTTCTGTTTAATTTACTTTTCAGTACACTAAAGTTATTTCTTTGTAGGTACTTTACAATAAATAATAATAATTTGTCGGTGAACCATGAACATGCTAAATATATTTGAAATCATAAAGGTTGATTGCCATTGTTGCTGGCATTAAATACTGTTGCAGTTAGAAATATTATAACGATTACGAGCGTAAATTGATTTTTTGTAAATTTGTTTATATTAATATGTTCTAGTTGGTGTACTTGAAATCAACAGTAACTAGACAAACAAACAGAATGTTTTTGACGTGACAACGTCTTAAATTAGGTTGCGGCTGGGAGTCACTTATGAAAAAGTGTAACGCTCGGTAACGTTACGATGAGTCACCGAACGAGAGAGAGGCCCGCCGAATGCCTTGCGTCTCTCTCCCACTCAACTATGATCGGTCTGCCGCGCGCGCAGCACTAGTTCATTCAATTCCTTGTTCCTATTGTGCAATTTAATTATATTCATATCAATAAATATTCTACCGAGAAAAAGACGTTGTCACGTAAAATTTTCGCCCGTAAAAACGATTTTACAGGCAACCATTTTTTTTTTCATCAGTAGCATATTTTATTTTATTTTTCTACTCATATAACCAATTATAATATGAATTCAACAGGTCATTTTGTGTTTATAATTTTATAAAAATAATAATATGACAACCGACAATTTAGGCAAATACAGTTTTAGGGCTGGTAACCCCTTCCGTCAATCATCGCAGAATTGTATGAACTGAACTGAAGTTGGCTTTTCTGAGAATTTCTGTATTCCCAAAGTTTTCTTCTATTTTATGTAAGTACTGTACTGCAAACGCTACAAAATTTTTCAATCCTGAACCATTAATCGAGTCCCGGTCTTGCGCTTGAAACTTTTATCACGAACGCGACCCCGGATAATAGTAGCATTCGATAAATAAATGTGGTGCGCGAATTGTGACGGTGCTCAGTCAGTGTGTTGTGTGTCATCGTGTTGAGACCATCGGTGCGCCATTTAGCTCGCGAGATAAAAAAAAAACAAGGAATGTGTCTATCGCTGCGATCGGTTTAGTAGTAACCAGTGCATCAATTCGTGATGGAGTGACAGATAACCGCAGCAGTGATGGCAGATTTATGTACAAATACCCGAAGAAAGTGCAAAGGTTTCAGAAGGGGGCCGCAGTTCGGACTATGGATGTGGTGTATAGTACTGAATTGTTTTATTTGTTTACCATGTATTTTTTCAAAGTGTCTAGGAGTAAACATATCGGTTGCCGTGTACCCTGATACTATGATCAAACTCCGCTATGGCCAACCTCTGGAGATCTTCTGCGTGGCTGAAAACTATACTGCTGAAAACTTGGAGTTTCACTTCGGTGGACAAGTTATTGAATCAGAAAAAGTGAATGCAACCACCCGGAGGTTGTATATTGAAAATTTGAATAAAAATGTATACACATTTTACTGTAGGAATAATGTGACAAACAAACAATGCACCAGTAGAGTGCTGGTGGACGACACTCCCTCAAATGTTACTGACTTTGGCTGTATATCAAAGAACCTTGATGAACTGAACTGTACCTGGACTTCTCCAGAGGTTTACAGTATAACAACATACCGGTTATCCTTCAATATATATGGAAACACATTTGAACCTTGTGAAGCAAAACGTATTGGTAAATTAAGGTATTGTTCCTGGAGTACCACAAGTCAACCCAGGTACAAACAGATGGAAACCCATTATTATTTCAACTTATCATCTTGCAATTATTTTGGTTGTATTGAACAGAACTTTACCATTGACCATTTCTCTGTTGTAAAGCCGGATGCCCCAGAACTGCTGAAGGTAATAAAGTTTGACCCCCACAATGTACTACTTCAGTGGAAGATCCCTAACAACATGTATGATTTTTTGCCATGTGCAGTTGTGCATAGGATAGAATACCAAATTGCTAAAATTGATAACACAGCATACTTCCGAAGTGTTGATGCTACCATGTTACCGCCAAAAAACAAGACATATACATTTCTCCTCTCAAACTTACCATATGCTCATATGTCTTATGAGGTACGAATTTATATAAAGTCAGAATTGGCTACTGAAGATAAATTCTGGTCTGATTTCAATTATGTATTGTTTACAACAGCAAGTGAGAGTCCTCAGCGACCACCTGATACCATTGCTGGAGCATTTGTTCAATCAATTTATGAAAATTACCGAGTTGTATATGTGTACTGGAAACAGCTGGAAGAATATGAAGAGGCTGGCGCAAACTTTACCTATAAAGTTGTAGCTACAACAGGCTCTAAGAATCCACAGACATTGGTGCCAGATAAAAACAAAAGTTTGAGTTATGTTGAACTAAATCGTGCAACTTTAGATGCTATAGATGTTACCATTTGGTCCACTAATGCAGTAGGCTCATCTGTAAACAGCAGTCATCTTTACATACCATCTAAATATGACAGTGAAGTTTTAAGTGTCTCATCTTTCACAAAACTTGCTTATGAAAATGGCACATACAAATTATCTTGGGTTGGTATCAAGGAAATTGATAACTATACACTTTTCTGGTGTCAGCATAATACTAGTCAAATTTGTACAGGACGTATGAACTTCACTGTTTTGGATCCAAAGCAGAACAGCCATGTTATTGATTTACCAAGAGACAGTAGATATCAATTTGCAATATCTGCTAACAGTGGCTCTAAAACAAGTGGCATGACATGGGCATCCTGTGATATCTCTAAAGATGGAATACCAATGTATGGATTCCCTGTGAAAGTGAATCATGATGCTCCAGGGAAGACATTTGTCCAAATTACTTGGACAATGTCTTGTACCTTACAGGAAGGTATTATAAAAGGATATCTTATCACCTATTGCCCAGTTCTAAACACAAGCAATGTGTGTGACACCACTTACGAAAATAAATCTACATACTATGTTTCAAACCCTACACAGAAGGAAATAAACATAACTGATCTTAAACCTTATACAACATATCTTTTTACCTTGGCTCTGAATACTACCTATGGCTTAAAGACAATTGAAAATGCTTCCACCGGAGTGACAACTATTGAGGATACACCAACAAGTCCAAGGAATGTGCGCATTTCAGATGTTCAAAGTGACTCCTTAATAATATCATGGGATCCACCATTGCACAAAAATGGTATCATTGCTAAATATGTTATTGAAGATTCAAAAGGCTTAAAGGTTGACAAAATGGTAGATAAAATGACTGAAAAAGATAAAAACTCCACTAGAATCTACATGAAATTGACTGGTCTTCAGGCATACCACAACTACACATTAACTGTAAGTGCATGCAATGCGGCTATTAGGAGTTGTTCTAAACGTAGTCCTGATTATGGCATCTTTGTTAGAACAAGGATTGGATCTCCTAGTATGTTGAAGCCGCCCACAATAAAAAATAAACCTGATTCTTTGATATGGGAACCCCCAGCCAGCCCTGGGGGATCTGTTGACCTTTACCAAATAAGAAGGGTGAAGGATGGAAACATTAACCGAGACGAGATTATAAATACAACTTCCTTGTCCTATAGTTTGACACATTGTGAAGGAGTAGATGAGAGCGAAACTTATCAAGTGAGAGCTGTTAATTTCGATGAAGACCCATATTATGGCATATTAGCTGACAGACCTGAAGTAGCTTTGCCTTTAAAACAGAATAGAAAGTTTCTTGAATACCCTGGGCCATGGAGTCCTCCTGCGTCAGTAGCTTGCAGAAGCAAGGAAGGTCTAACTATGCTTGTTATTCTGATAATTATATTTGCTCTCATAGGTATGATGTATGGCTCTATAAAATTGTATAAAAAGTACAGGAAAATGGAAGATATAAAACCAGTTCTTCCAAGTGGGTTAGGTATACCTGAGAAAGATATTTCCAAATACGCTTTTGGTGGATGGAATCCTACTAATAAGGACGATAAGCCATCTTCTGACGAAATGTTATTGCTACCGAACAGTAGAACTACTGTGTCTACTCCAGAAACTAAACAAAATAGTGAAAATAATTGTGGTTCTAGTGACCACACGGACAGCACTGCACTGTCAGATACATCTCGAGGAGCTATCGAGCGTCAAGCTTCCACATCGGACGATGGTTCGGACTCGTCCTTGCATTTAGAAGTTGAGCCCGTGAGGACTGATGATAATAATGCAACGCAAGACGAGGATTCTTCAAACTCCGAAACTGACAATTCTAGAGAAAATTCTCCTTACTTCAGTGACAAATCATTTAAGAAAAATCCTAGTGGCTATGTGCAGTCCGTAGCGCCCGTCGTTAACCCGGTAAGCGGTTACGTACAATCAGCGCCGGCACCACATACAAGCCCTATTGCAAAACCGGTGACGCAGCCTACCACCTCGAGTTATGTGATGGCTGCACTGGCACCGCCGATATTCACCACTGGAGTAGCGCCGCCTAGCGTCCCAAGTCAACCACCAGCCTCATCGGGCTACGTGATGCCGGAAGACGCACAAGCGAAGTCCATGATGAATTTCCCCAAGTTAGGGCCTTCGCCTACTAAAGTTTTCGGGTCTGAAAGCTTGCCGATTATGCCTACCTTGCCACAGCCAGTGAAATCCGGCGCCGACAGTAGCTATATTCAGTTGCAGTCCTTAGACGCCTTGCCTAGTCATAAACAACCGGTACGGAATACAGTGCCGTTAAAACCACCGACGTCGAACGGTTACGTGAGCCCCGGAGACGCGGTCATAAACAAGCACCTCAACAACATGCTGTCAGGTGGCCAGCTCGAGGAGTCCGCGATACTGGACCCGACAATGTCTCCCGACGCGTACTGCAGATTTTCTTGGAGCACTGACCCTGCGAATGACAATCTTCACTCGTTACTCTCCGACTCGCACACGTTGAACTTGTCGAAAAATTGAGCCGAACATAGTATAAAATAAGTGACACAGTACTGATAAAATAGACTTTTAGTGACTGAGTTGTAAATAATGAACTTTAGGAGCTTTACGAAGTGCTATAACGTTATTGGACATAATATAAATACACACAAGAATGTGGATGTGTTGTCTAGTGATAATTCTTGTGCCTTATTAATTTATTTTAGGTGATTTTTAAGAAGCTTAGTAGGTAAGATTTCACACACAGCTTTAAATAATATAGAAGTATGACATTCGTAGAAGATTTTGTTTATTCGCATTATTTCTTCGTTAAACCTCGGCGGGCGTTACAAAGCGTGATGTTTGTTACAGAAATTAAAATTCGCGCGTAGAGAGGTTTAAATATGGAGGGTATATATAAAATTAATTTAGTCCCAAGTGATCTGAGCGTTGAGGAGACGATACTGCAGATTGCAGACACTTTGGATAATCTCAACGGTATCGTAGACGATGTATTTGCAAGGCTGACGACACGAATCAAGCAGAACATGGATAAGACAATGAAACTCCACGAGAGAGTAGAGATGTCGAGGTCGAAAGTAGAGAAGTTGACCGGCATGCAGAAAGCAATCAAAGTTTTTTCCAGTGCCAAGTACCCGGCCGCAATAACTCACGAACATTATCAATCAGCTTTTGACGCGGATGGATACCAGCACAAGTCGAAAAAGGTTACTCTGAGTGGAAAAACTCAGGGGCAGTATAATGAAAAGGAATTACAGGTGAGTCAATAATATTATTTTTCCGAGGAGGTTAAGTAACTTGCGAAAGAAAATCTGTTTACTCTTTTTGCTTTCTGTTTGTAGATTTTACTTACTAGTCTATCTATTCATGGTTGTGACTTTGTGCTGGTCCGTAATTTGTACGTGTCCAATTAGAATATATATTATGGTCGACTGATTGGTCTCTATTATACCAATCGGGTAGATTTTATGAATTGAATTATGTTCCGATTCGAAATCCTTTTCGATAACTTTTTGGATTTAAAATAAGTTGTTACTATCTATGGCCTGCCTATTACTTCTTTATAGGGGGATCCCAATTTGCTAAAGTCACAAATCGTTCGTTTTCCTTATATTTTAATACTAGCTTTTACCCGCGGCTTCGCTCGCGTCATAAAAGGATAAAAGTAGCCTATCTGACATATACCAATACACACAGCGCCATCTATACCAATTCTTTTGTTTTCCCTCGGAAATATCAAAATTTTCCGGGGTAAAAAGTACCCTATTATTTATTCCGGACTTCTAACTTTACGCCTGCAACAATTCAAAGCAATCGGTTTAGAAGTTACGGCGTGAAAGCGGAACAAATAAACAAACTCACTTTCCCATTTATAATAGTAAGGAAAGATTATCCTTATTTTAAACATTCTATATCACATGTATCTGCCGTTTAGTTTTTTGCTAAGAGAATCGTTTGTTATAGTTTAATTCCAATATCAAAGGAATCTTAAAATTGTATGCTGATTTATTGATAAAAAATTGAAATTTCTATTTCATTTTAGGAGAAACTCCATTTCTACCACGTGAAAGTGGCAGAACCTAAAGACTCAAGGCCTAAACCAGATTTCAATTTAAATAGTATGATCGACAAGCTATCGAGTGTCGGTGACTTACTCATATTCAACACCGACGAGAGTCCTTATCTGGGCACTATTCGGCCGACAGCAGCGTACGTACCAACAGTGACCTCTAAGGTCGAGAGTAAGAGCCTACTGGAAGCGGCGCCCAGCTCTATTGTGAACAGAGATGTTTTGAAGCGCGATGCGGATGAATATCTGTATGCACCAGGAATGGGAATGGTAAGTGTGCATTTTACACGTAAATAATTTGTGGTGGGCAATATTTTCTTTTCATAACTGATTTGATTATCTGAATTTGCATTGACATTAAACGTTACTATCAGGTGCCGGAGCTGGAAATGCCACTAGACCTTCCGCACTTACCGGGCATAGCGGGCGACGTGCAGTTCTCAAATACTACTGACGGGTCGATAGCCCCATCAGTTGTGACGTCACCAGTGGCGCAAGTCATGCCTGTACCAGAGTTGGAACTCCCGGACTTGAAAGAATTACAAGTTGTTCGGGAACCAATAGAAGAGGTGAACGTGCCTGTGTCGGTAGTGCCTGACATCCCTGACGCGCCGCCCCCGCCGCCGCCTGCGCAGGCCTTGCCTCCTCCACCGCCGCCGCCGCCCCCTCCACCACCGCCGATGGACATCGCGCCCCCCGCCGATATCCAACGGTAAGTGTTTTAAAATTTCAAGTACATTGTTGTTGATTATTTTCAATAATATTCATCGAAACTGGTTAGGGTAGGACTGTCTCGAAAGTAAATAAGATATTCTTTTAAATGCAGATCTACGATGCTGTTTTGGATTTAATGTTCAAATGGAACATTTATTCATTCTATAAATAATTTTATTATGTTAATTGTTAAGCTTATCAAACACCGTCGCGACGCCGGCGGCAAAGCGGTAATATACTTATCCAGTGCGGGTTAAGGGCCAAATAAGTTGATATGATGCGACTTCTGCATAGGTTCATATTATGTTACGTACATGTGACTTTCAATTCATTGAATTTGTTCAGTTTAAATTAAAGCTGTAGAGGACTTCATTATAAAATCCAACTTTTCCTGAATTACGAAACATTTCACTGAATGTAAATTTTGATCTGTATCGACTGTCAACTGACTTTATTTATTGTCATAACATACTTAGTTTATTTTGGTTTATTTGGTTATTTTTTGTAATCAATTTGTATTAATTCTTTATTGCTCTTTTTAATGTTATTAGTAATGTTCCTACGTTTATTATTTAAGAGTTATGTATTGTTTTGTAGTTTTATTATTAATCAGTACACCAGTGGTATTGTAGAAAATGGAAATTATAACTGTTATCATCCCATACACTGGAAATTAATAAGGGCTGATCTAAAATCTGATCCTATATAAGTTTTTGATGGAAACGTCATACATGTGTCTTATACCGCTAAACTTTATCCAAAGATCTTTCATAGACATCAGTTATAATTGGAATAAGCATGTCTGTTGTCAAATTAAATGTTACCACTGATGTAACTATAAGGAGGGCTCCTAACAATTTGTTCTACTGGCCGAAGATATCCTGAAGTGTGTACTTACGTCACCTGTAATTGTTCGTTCCCTTTTGTAAATAATTAAGGGGCTGAACAATTCCAGACGATGTTTGAACAGACTCGTCGTCGTCGCGACAAGACGTCATACCAAACCTCGTATTATGTATTCGCATGCGCACACCATACGTTTTCTTCCTTTTGTCATGTTACGTAATTATAACGGAAAATTATTGTTTTCCACTCGTTATTGCCGCTTTTCTTACAATATACAAGATAATATTGCACCATACATATCTTGTATGTTCTAAGACGAGATGGGTTTAGCTTAAAGTTCAGCAAAAAATAGGCATCGAATTCCTCAGTTTCAACACATGTTTAATTTTTTACCCATCAAGGCCCACATTAGCCTTATCATGTATCGTTACCTGATTTTTTTGTGGCCGCCCCTCGCCATATGTGCAGTGAACAGATTTTTTCCACCCTAGATAAATAGTTGTGAGTTAATATAAATATAATTCCACTCCACAAGCAAGGTGGACGTCAAACCCGCTGTATGCATTATACATTAATGCTAAAACACCGATGTACCCACTGATTGACTATGGGATTTTGTGTAATTAAACGTTCTTAATAGATGCGAATTAAAAAAGTCGTTTGGGAGCATCCATCGTCGCAGCCACTAATTACCTCAACTATTTGTGACGAGTTCTATGAGATAGGAATCAATTACTCAATTAATTCATTTATTGCCCGTATAATGTTCATGGAGACGCCACCCTTGAGCAGACAGCTTTAGGAAACGGATAGACTAGTACTACTTCGGTACGCTGACTACGTAAAAACGTATATAAAAATAAGAATGTTATGCATATTATCTGGTCATTTTGCCGCGTGAGCCATCTACGGTAGTCAGGGTCGGTTAATTAGAGCTAAGGCAACAGAGAAAGAAACTAAAATAAACTGTTTACATAATTTGTGTTTAATATAAGGTGCGACGCATCGCGGCCGGGAGCACCATATTGTACGGACACTACAGGGTACTGAATATTAATCGTTATTGAATTAAATGCATTAAGCGTATGCTTCTCACGCTAATAATGTGGGAATATTCAAATAGAATGGGTATAATTTGGTTTAAATCAGAAGTTATTCTCATAGTTCTGAGTACGGGCCACAAGAGTGCCGGTGCTACGTTTCAGGGTTCGCCGCCAGCCGCGGTTCCCAGTAGATGCATTGAATTACATGAATCGTAAGCACCTCGCTACAAAAGAAAGGCGCTATAATAGATACAGTTTCTTAGAAACATGTAAATCGCCGTGTTTTCCACCTCTGGATTAGAGTTATGGGTCACTTGACCCCTGTTTACTCCATCAATGGAATATTAAATAGCTCTAAAGTTGTATGAACAAGCTCTGCCGTGATTTATACAGCTTCATAAAATAAATGTTTGTTTTATACGCAGCGTGCGCTTACATGACAAGTGGAGTAAAGAGATCTAACCCACGTTCATTTAAATCAAGTCAATATTTACTCGAAACTGAGAGGATTCAAAAAATTTGCTCATAGACGACACTCAGGTCCTCATTTGAAGATAAGACGTAGATTGTAATATGCATGGTTTCAAGGACCTGTTAATTATAACTACATAATTATGAATGCAAGCACCGAGGGAGACCAATCATGATCTCCAATGAGATAAAGTATTAGTAGAAGGACGTCGATAAACATGTATAACAAAAAGTATCTTAAGGGTTCTAGCGGACTCTATATTTAGCCTGAGCAGGCGTAATTCAGTTGGTTTTATTCGTTAAATCACCAGTGGTCCATTCAGTGTACCCTGTCTGCTTAGGACTTAAGAGGATTAGCTATAATAAATGCTCTGAAGTCCTACCAAGTATTGTGCCGACCAGTTTTTTCAAAAGTACGCGTGTGGTAAGAAATACAAAATTATCTGTATTGATCAATAACAGCCTCTGGTATGTATTTAATTAAAGATTGTAATTTAAGATTGTTCATCATGAACCTAATTAATTAGTCGGCTCAAGGAATAATTTCTACACTTAATATATTGGAGTGAAAGAAAAAGTTAGCAGCTGCTAATCAGGCTGGCGAGGTGTTGCATATATGGTAGTGTGGTGATTAGTGGTTGCTGTTTACTATTAGGGGTCCTAGGTGGCGAGGCTGGGCGATAATCAATATTGATGTATGCCCACTTTGTACCTTTGTATCAGATAACTTGTTAAATAAAAACATAGTTGTTTTTGTCTATTAATTAACGCGTCTGTTAATTTATTCGTGTAAAGATGAGTTTCAACTGCATAGATTCCTTAATGAATGTTTTTCGAGCAGCGTTCCTAATAAGTGGGCCTCGTACACTTTTTAAAATCGTTCAATTGCGACTACGCAGTTCAGACTTATTTATACAATTTGTTATTAATGTAAGCATCAAAGTATGTCGATATCCAACAAAACTAGCCACGAAGTCAGATGACAGTCTATGATACTGCATGTTTACTAGAAAAAAGTTATCAATAATGTAATATTTATCACAAAATAATTTAAAACATGAATTTTTGATGATGTCGTGATTATAAGTGAAGCTCATAACAGTTTTCCAATAAATAGACATTCATAGATAAGGTTCCAGTTGAACTAGGAATGTCAAATAGGAAATAGTCACGTTCTTTACACAAAATAGTTGAGGCGCGATAGGCCGTTGTGCACCGTAACACTTATCTGAAATATCTACGCATAGATTTTACTATTTTACTGTGTCATAGGCATGTAGTCGTACGAAATGCATATTTCTTGAAAATCTTATCGCATAGTACTTACAATATTCTTTCCGGCTTACAGGATAATCATGGAAAGCGATGTGTTTTGTTTGTACAATGTTGTTAAACTCTTTTTAATCTTCTGTTATCAGTAAGCAGTTTCTAGTACTTTGTTATGTCATATCAATAAAATTAACGATAAAATATGTATCGTGCACACCTGTTGTACCGTATAGTAAATAGTGATTGTCTCACATAGCTATTTTTTTACACGTTTTATATTTTTAGCTATGCAATTTGAAATAAAAAAACTTTTTCGTTTGCATCGTTGTAAATGACCTACTGTAAGTAGGTGCGTTTCACCCTGACGAAAAAGTATAAATATTTACTTTCAATTAAAATACACAAATAGTATTGTATCGGAGGCCAATTAGTGTAGACGTACTGAAGCACTAGACTTTCGAATATTCGAGAATAAGGTGCCTATTTACAAACCGCACGGCTTTCTCGGTACCGTGTTCTTAAGTAGAAACAGTCGTTTTGAAAACAAGTGGCGTATGTTCCACAGAACGATGTATTGTACAAATAATATTAATGTTTTCTTTTTATTTATGTTTAGGGAGATAAGACTATAGGTCCACCACTGCGGCGGAAAGTAAATAAATATTTAAAATATTAAATGAATTGTTTTAATTAAAATATAATACAATGTATAGACGGTAAAGACATTTTCATTGGAAAAATTATTGACAAGAGAAAACAAAAGTATTGAGTTTGACATATTGTATTGGAAGAAGAAAATACTAAAGAAAAGAGGTGAGCTAACTAATAGAGGTAGTAAAAAGTACGAATATGAGGAAGGTATAGAATAATGAAAGATATAAATAAATGAAACGTAGGTGAGCAGCCTACATATGTTTCTGCGGCTATCGGGACAAAATAGACGATCATTATTGTATTGTACGGACAGATTAGGATGAGTTGTAAGATGTAGCTCGGTGCCGCATTTTAAATGTTTTCCATGAAACAAAATTCGCATTACCAATGTGTGAAACTGGATAATGCAGCTGTTTCCAGTTGATGCTTAAAATGAATCGTGAGAACCGAAGACTACACGGTTACAATCCGCGCGAGATTATGTCGGATTAAATTGCCTCTATCCATTTCAATTAAAGAGGGAACCTGCAGAGCGAGCGCTTCCAGCTGCCGCTGCAAATCGGTACATGTTGACAAAGCTGAGCTGACAGTTCTAAAGATATCTGGACGTCAGATGTCAGATTCCATAGGATACCCAATTAACCGTCGGCAGAATGTATGTGACACGCACCTCATTGTAACTGAATGTGAGTTAGAGCCGTTTCAACCCAATTAC